GATGTCACCATCTGTCCCTCTTCCAATCCCCATTGAGTCTTCTATTGAGTCTCCTCTCATCGAGTCTTCTATTGGGTCTTCTTCTCATGTTTCTGTTTCCCCTCGTCTTGCTCATCCTCCCACATTTTCTTCCCATCCTATTGTTTAAAGGTGGTACCAGAAACAAAGACTCAAGGATGTGCAAGTTGTTTCCACACCTTTAGATGAGCCTCTTGCACCTCCCATCACTACTGAGGTAATAGGTCAGCCCCCTTCTACCACTTTTGATACCTTTCCTAACCTTGATCTCCCCAGTGCTCTTCGCAAAGGCAAACGAAAATGTACAACTCATTGCATTTCCAAACACCTGTCCTACAACCTTCTTTCCCCCTCCTACTATTCCTTTCTTGCCTTTGTTTCCACACATGTGATTCCCAGGTTTGTCCCAGAAGCTTTATCCAAACTAGAATGGAAGGATGCTATGATGATTGAATTAGATGCTTTGCATAAGAACAATACTTGGGAAATTATGGATTTTCCTAAGGGAAAGGAACCGGTTAGCTGTAAGTGGGTGTTCACTATCAAGTATCATTCGGATGGTACTATTGAAAGATTTAAGGCCCGTTTGATTGCTAAAGGATACACTCAGATGTATGGTATTGATTACCTGGAAACTTTTGCCCTAGTGGCCAAAATGACTTCAGTTCGAGTTTTGCTATCTTTGATTGGCTACTTCATCAATTTGATGTTAAAAATGCTTTCTTGAATGGAGACCTACATGAAGAGGTCTATATGTCTTTACCTCTAGGGGTGTATGGGAAGGAGATGCAAGGGAAAGCCTGTAAATTGAAGAAGTCCCTTTATGGCCTAGTAGAAGATCAAGACTGTAATCAGTCTTGAATCCTAATAGGTTTTAGGTTTACAAAATAGAAGAAAAGTGAGAGAAAGGAGAGAGAATAGAAGAGAAACAGGAGAACACAAGTGGTTGAAAGGAGGGACAGATTCTAACAGATCTGCCATCGCCACTTTCTTATTATTTATAGGTTATGTTTAGTACATAATGGAAAGGACACATCTGCCCTTAGTACTTACATAATAAATAAAGTAAATAAAAGCTGAAATAAATAACAACTGAATTAACAAACTAACTCAAACTGACACTACTATAACTGAAACAAATAACTACACATGCTGTCCTACGAACACAGTGGGGACCACTGCAGTGGGGCCCACATGAGTGTTCTCTACAGGCTTTAAGCAATCTCCTAGAGCCTAGTTTGACAGATTTTGGGCTGCCCTTGTTACTTTTGAGTATACGTAGACTCAGTCTAATCATACCCTGTTTGTTAAGAGGAGAGATTCCTTAGTGACCCTTTTGATTGTATATGTTGATGATATTATAGTTACTGGTAGTGATACTCAGGAAGTTACTCATCTCAAAAGATTTCTTAACACCGTGTTTGATATTAAAGACTTGGGTGAACTCAGATATTTCTTGAGAATTGAAGTTGCCAGGTCTAAGGATGGTATATTCATTTCTCAACGTAAGTATGTTCTTGATCTTCTTGCAGAGATTGGCAAACTGGGTGTCGACCAGCTTCCACTCCTATAGACCTAAATCATAAGCTGTCAGCTATGGATGGTGAACTGTTGACTGATAGGGGAGTGTTCCAGAGACTGGTTGGGAAGTTATTATATTTTTGAATGACTCGACTAGATATTTCCTATGTAGTTAGCGTAATTAGTTAGTTCATGCATTCTCCCAGAGATACACATTTAGCAACTGCTGAGAGGGTTCTGTGTTATCTAAAAGGGACTCCAGGGAAAGTTATTTTATTTGCTAAGCATGGGCAAATGAAGCTAGAAGCATACACTGATGCTGACTGGGCTAGATATATTGATGATAGGAGGTCCACTTTAGGTTACTGTGCTATGGAGCATTGTATCATGGAGGAGTAAGAAGCAGTCTGTAGTGGCTAGATCCTTGGTTGAAGCAGAGTACAGGGCAATGGCACCTAGAGTTTCAGAACTTTTTGCTTGAGATCACTTTTAGAAGAATTGGGTATAGACTGTGAGAAGCTAATGATGTTATATTGTGACAACTAGGCCGCTATCAACATTGCACATAATCCTATTCAACATGGTAGAACTAAACACATAGAAGTTGACAAGCACTTTATACGGGAGTGAGTTGCTTCAGGAGAAGTCTGTCTGCCATTTATTGCTTCTGAAGAACAATTGGCTGATGTTTTGACAAAAGGTGTTCCTGAAGGAAAGCTGATTCACTATATAAGCAAGTTGGGCATGATTGATATCTATGCTTAGCTTGAGGGGGAGTGTAGAGAGATTGGGTCGAATGGGTCCTAGCCCATTTCTATCTTATTGATTAGTTCTTGTTATTTTTCTTAATGGGCCTTTAATTCTTTTTATGTTTTCTAAGTATGTTGATGAGGTGGACACCCACTTAAGGGCAGACTTGTAATTTATGTAATCTTAGTAAGATTAATAAAAGATTAGAGAGGAGAAAGAGGAGATTATCGAACTCCTTTTTTCTCCCTTCTTCTTCTTGCTGTCTATGTAGACAATTTACGAGTGCTATCAAGATTGCATCTAACTTGTCTTCCATGAGGGGACCAAGCACATCAAGGTGGATTGCCACTTTATCCGAGATCTTTTCACTGTTGGGTCTATATCGCTTCCTCATGTAGCCTTGGACATGTAGATTGCCAATATCTTCACCAAGGCCATGACTAGAGTTTGACACCTCTTTCTTAAAGGCAAATTGATGCTTATGTCTATGCATCAATTTGAGGGGGAGTATGGAGATTCTGTGACTTGATGTATCTTATTAGTATAGTCCTTCTTGTGTATTACATTACTTGTATTTTTTATTCTTTCCTCTTTCAGCCCTATATGGGCATTCTTGTAATTGTACATATCCTTTAATATATAAGAGACTCTTTGAGGTGGGGGTTGTGGTGTAGTATGGAAACAAACCACGTTCGGAGAAGCTTCAAAGAAAAGAGCAAAAGCCGAAATAAACAAGAAGAGTAATTCTTCACTGAATAATTAAGAGAAAATCAACATAAAACTCCCCTAGTTTTTCCCTAGCTACTCTTTATATAGACTTACGCCCTTACGGTTCCTACAAGAAAGTTTCCTAATCTAAGATAACACTCCTTAATAGAAACCTACTAAAACTCCTCAAAAAGAAAGTCCTAATTGAACAAAAATTCAGAAATCATGATTTAATGCTAACTTGGTAACTACAAACTAAGATAGAAATTCCATGTTGATGCTAATTTGGTAAATTTGAACTAAGATAGAAGTTACGCGTTGATGCTAACTTGGTAAGTTCAAACTAAGATAGGAATTCCTTGCTGGTGCTAACTTGGTAATTAATTACTCGGTTGGATCAGTAATGTCATCCCAGCTTCTTACGTGTCTTGGATTGTTCTCAACATGCATAAAACTTATTATCTATTTTCTGTATTGTATCATCCTCCCCCTATACATACTAAGATGGGTCTTTGAAAACCAACTTTGTAAATGCTTACTCAATTGGTCTGAATCTCATACTGCATCAGGTTGACTATTCTGGACACTTCTAAGATTATTCTTGTTCTCTTCTCTATTCGGCCAAGAGTGTTGACAGTCTCCACTACCCCTACATAAGAAACACATATGAAGAAAAAGTCAAGAAGAGGGTTTTTTTTTTTTTTCCGATCAAATAAGAGGGTCTTCTTCTTTGCAACATATCACAAGTATTTACCTTTACAAGGAAAATTTCCCAGTGGAAGGCTTGAATTTTTGGTGGGATTGGCTTACTCCAAATTTCTTTCACTGGGAAAACAACCCCTTGAGAACCAAGTAAGGCTAGATGCTTGAAAAAGGGGGAACAAGTGAAGTTCATTAGAGGAGGAAACCCATGTTAGAATGTTAAAGTGATGTTCGGCTGATAAGAGTTCTTATTAGCCCAGTCTTATGTTTAACTTATCTTGTAACTGGGCCTGTGTTAATGGGCCTAATCTTGTTTAATGATTTAAGTCATCTGGGTGTCCCATCACTAATCAGGRGCATCCCAGTAATTTCTTGTACCTTGTACTATATTCATCTATAAATAAAAGACTGGTCRASTGSCTAGTACAGTTCGACAYTCTCTTCAGTTCTGTGGTTCTCTTCTCCTCCTTGCTACTTCGAGTATAGCTCTTCAGATTACAACCCAAATTCTAGAGTGTTTCAAGTTTGGGTATATGAAAGCTATCTCTAAAATGTCAAATAGGTAATTAAAGAAAAATGCTCACTTTCTCGTAGGCCTCTTTTGAAACCAAGGTTCCAATTGAAGCCTAAAGGAGAGGGTATTCCCAAACTAGACATAGGTTCACCCTTTTGGTTAGATAGGGAAAAAAGTTCAGGAAATTGATCTTTTAGTGGTGTTTCCCCTATCCAAAGGTCTACCCAGAACTGGATTTTATCATCCCTTCTCACATTAAACAGGATCAAGCTAAGGAAAGATGCATATACCTCATGAATTGTTTTCCAAGGTGAAGTTGAAGACGAGTGAGGATTAACTTCAGCATCCTAGCCATTACTCTCCAGACCATGAATGCTTTTGTGCTTTTTGCCTTTAATTAATTTGTCTTTATGCTTTATCAATCATGTAAATGCTTCATCCGAAACTTACTTGGCATTGGTGTGGTTTGAAGTTTTGAAGACTAGCTTTTCAACCAGAATTTTGTTTATTATAAAAAACAAACTTTTTAGCCCGTGCTTCTTTTACCAGTCATGATTGTTACATTCTTTTTATATATGACAATATGCTACATGTGATCATAGTTTTATATGCAAAGGTTAAAATAAAGAAAAGAAAAAGATCTTTTTTTTTGTGGTTTCTTTTATCCACTTCTCTATAACATTGCTAATCAATTACCTGATGCATCTTGGTATTTTATTCTGATGCTATTGTTCAAACTATTTCCAAAGCTCTATGGTGACTGAAGATTTTGATTACCCTTTCTCAGATGAATGAACTTCCACCTGCGAATTCTAACGAGGGTTTGGAGGCAATTCGCCATTTTAGTGTCCCAAAAGAGAAATTTCATTTGTCCTTTCGGCTCTTGCAAGTTCAAGGGCTACCTCCATGGGCAAATTCCTCTTCAATTTCTATTGGAGATGTGATTCAGGTAATTGTACATGATGCCATAGTATTTTACAATCCATGACTGCATTGGTGAACTAATCGTTGTTATCATCTAAACCTTGTCCCGACTATATGGGGTCAGCTACATGAATCCTTTTTGGCCATTCTGTTTTGTTCAGTGCAACTGTATTTTGAAATATAAAGATAATGGTTGTTTGTCTTTTTATAGTGGGAAAAACTGATTTTTGTTATTCTTCTGTCTATAAAGAACTATTTAACAAGGTAAGATGATGTGTAGTATGCATATTAGTAAAAAATACGTTTTAGGCTCTTAGTATTTAGTATAAATGTTCCATGTATGCAAACTAAAGGATTTCTACTTGTTCTGTTACTTCACTTGTCCAACAAGAGGAAGCACTAACACTATCCCTCATATAGTCATAAAGGGTCATCTTTATTTTCTTTGGATCAATTCACTTTAGTGATTCTCTTATAGCTGTGATCTTAGCTTTGTTTTAGGGGCCCGGGTTGGTGTTTTTCCTAGTTTTGACAGTATTGATGAAAAGTAATTTTTAGGTTGTAATTGTAGAGACAGTGAGAAGATCTAGCCGTATGGCTATTTTTGTACTTTTACTCTTCATTGTTGTACATCTAATCAATGTACTCTCTTTCTTTTGTACACCAAGGACAGATTTGCCCTTTTACCTTTTTTAATATAAATATATCTTTTAAGGTGTTGACTGTTACAAGGTAACACTCCCACCAATCTTTTGTTTCTCTCTTTCTCTCTCTCTGAACTTTCGACTTGACTCTGACATGGTACCAGAGCAGGTCACGACCTGATCTACACAATATCTCCTCGATCATCTCTTTTACTACTGCTTCAAGAACTCTCTAACAGAATTTAGGAGGTTCTTGAGTGTCCTTTATCCTCTTCCTAGATTGGCTACAGATCTGAACTTTACAGATCATCTTCTTGGACTGCCGTGCCATTGGATTCATCTTTCTTCTTAGATCTCCTTGTAGAGACATCGGATCAGCCTGAAATCTTAGATTTGGTGTCTCCCAGAGCAGATCTACCGAATCCTTTTGGTTTGGTTTAGATCAGTTTTGATTTTGAGGGGTTTCGATCCACTCTTTAGTTCGGCAGAGCATTACAATTACCTTTTTTGGACATCAACTAAAAGGTACTTTCTTCTTCATCCTCTGGCTCGAATTTTATTGGTTTTCTGGAAGTGTGTGTTGTTGCCTTTTGTCTCCCAATGGAATTAGAAAGGATGGAGGTTCTTCCTATTAAATTCAATGGCACAAACTACGCATTATGGAAGTTTAACTTTCAATTCCATGTCGAAGCTAAGGGTCTTTGGGGATATCTGGATGGCTTTGTATCTAAACCTGATGATTCTGATATTAAGGGCCTTAATCAATGGAAGATCGACAATGCAAAAATTGCGTTATGGATCCTAGGTTCAGTCGAAACTGATATTGTTATCCCTATGAAAGGGTACAGGATGGCCTATGAGATGTACCAGTATCTCAAGAAGGTTTATCTGCAATTGAACACCTCTAGACAGTATCAGAATCAGATAGAGGTTGATATCTTCTCATACTATTAAGGAGACAGAAAGGTATAAGAATATTATGCAGGGTTCATCAACCTTTGGATAGAATATGAGTTAGTTCACATGGGATCCGGTAGATTGTTGTGTGAAGTACATGAATGAACACTTTGATAGAAGGAAGATTATGCATTTCCTAATACATCTAAGGCCTGAGTTTAAAGCTGACAGATCTAATATCTTGAGCCGAGGAACACTTCTTGACTTAGATACTATCCTTGGGGAAATTTTGAGAGTGGAAACCAGATTTGCTACACAGGCTACACTGGATAGGAGAAAAGATCCCAACATTGATGCTGTCTTCCTGGCAACTAAACTGAAAGGGAAAAAGGACCTCTCTAAGGTACAATGTTATGAATGTAAGGAGTTTGGGCACATTGTCTCCTATTGTAAGAAGAAGAATACATGCACTTATTGCAAGTAGTTCGGCCATATTATTACTGAATGTCCTACTCGGCCTCAGAAAGGTTGTGGATCAAATCAAAAGAAATGAAGCTACAAGGCCTATTAGACTGTTGTAGATGGTTCAAATGCCTCCTCGATTACTTCTATAGCTGGCCAAAATGACACCTCCGGTGACATGTCTGAAGAACAGATTCGACAACTCATGTCCTTGGTCATCTCCTCAGCCTTCTATGCTATTGGTCTGTATGGTAAGTCACGAACCTATTGTCCTTCACCAAACCACCTTTTGTATATTGACTCAGGAGCCTCTAACCATATGACAGGGGCCATACTCGGTTAGTATTCCAAACCCCATCCTCCCAATAAACATATTATCACTGCAAATGGTGAAAAATTGGATATATTTGGCTGTGATGATTTGTATTTATCTACTTCTAAGTCATCTCCGTTTCATTTATCCTAAACTTTATTTGTACCTAAGCTCACCACCAATTTGATTTCTGTTGGCCAACTTGTAGAGGAAGGTAACACTGTCTCATTCACTTCTGACGGTTGTTTGATACAGGACCGGAAAACTGGGGAGGTGAAGGGGAAGGGGCGTAGATTGGGAAGACTATTTGCTTTGGAGTTTGAAAAGAATAGGACTGCACCTGTTTCTACTTCGTGTTTGCTTTCTACCACTTATGGCTTTGAATCTTTTAATTGTAATAATGATTGGCTTTTGTGGCATAAACGCCTTGTCAATCCGTTTTCTAAGAAGTTAAATCAATTATTTGCTTTCGGTAGTTTACTTGTTTCTGCAGTTTCTTTTAAGAATGTCAGTAAATATTGCATTACTTGTGGTTTATGTAAGAGTTATATTTTACCTTTTCCTTCTTACTTTGAGCATGCTACATGTTAGACAGTTGTATGCCCTTAGGTTCAATCAGAAATATGTACATTATGAATTTATTGTAAATGAATAAAGTACACATTTGATTCATGTTCCTGTGGTGTGTTTCTGTGTAATATCGTTAAACTGGACACTTAATGAGACTTGTGTTAGTTTACAATGTTCACAACCATTGGGTAAGTCTGGGGAGATTTATCCTGCCAAGG